TGAACAGCTAGATTTTAGATTTTTGACTTCATAGCATCCATAAACTGAGACTATGTATAAAATGCTCCCATTCTCCCCTTAAGTAGAGCTGTTGAGTCTGTCATTTTGAAGCCCAGGGTTCTGGTTTATTCCTTGCTGCTTTTGGGGAAGATGTGGGACATGTTTTCAGCAATTTGCCATCACTTGGGAATTGCTTTGTTTGATCAGATCTTGAGATCCTGCATCGTGAGGACAGTAATTCAGTATCTGCTTCTTAGAGTGGCCGACAGTAGAAACTTCAGAAGAAAGTTGTAGCTGGCATAGAGGAGGATATTGCCACCCAGTTCCAGGGTATGATCTGTTATCTTTTACAATATATCTGAATACGGTTTAAGAAAAAATTGATGTAATTTTAAAAGACTGGTAATTGATAACCTTGCATGCCTTTTTGGACTGTGACATCTTGGGGTTAAAAATTCCTTTGTGTGTCCAGACGGTCTTCTAATTTAACATCTCCTTGGTCTGTGTGTACATGAGGAGACAATGTACACCTCTTCTAACTTCAGCTCTTGTGACTTAGGGATGGCTTCTTTTTTGTATTCCTGGTCTGTTTTTTCCATGTTTCATTATTATTTGTAATCATGATACTTTCCAGGTAGTTTCTCATTATCCATTTCTGAACTTCCTTCCTCAGAAAAGGCTAGTGAAGGTGAACGAGCATTAGCATGCGTAGGATTTCAGATGGGTTTTTAATTTTTAGTTCTCTAAAAACTTATGATAAAAATGTCAGTGCTTATTTTTAGAAGTCTAATGTATTTGTGTGGGAAAATGCAATTCATGCCTTGGAAAGGTGCAATAATCCATCAGCAGTCTGTGGCTTTTAATACCTTAATTGAGGCTGGTAGGTGAGAATTTGTTGAACGTTATAGACAAAAGTTTCAATCTAGAAGAGATGCGATTATCTTGCCCTTCTTAATAGTCTTAATTGCCCTGGATTCTTGCTTTAAGTCTAGTAAGGCATTATTGTCACAGGAAGCTGAAAGTGTAGTCTTCAGCACAAGTTGGAGTCATGTGTCTTGGTTTCAAGCCATGATGATTATTAAATGATCCTGGTTAGAGTTGTTTTCTCTTAGGTCATTCTAGAGAATGGTTAATTAAAACCTTTAGCTTTTTCTCCCCCTGTTTTCTTCTCCCAGTGACTTGTATGTTTCATGGTGACCTTGAACTGAGTTTGCTGTTTATTGGCAGGGAGTGTAGACAGTGCTGAGTTGGAGTTGTGGAGCAGTGAATGCTTCCTACAGGTCTCTTAACTTCACACCAAGAGCTTGCTTCACTGAAACTTATCAGTATGATTGTGTGGGTTGGAGGATGTCCCCCCTTGTGGACTAGAAAAAGTGTTTAACTTGTAGATTTGTAGATTATTTGTATGAAAGTAAGTTTAGAAGTAGTGCATATTGATCTGTACCTGCAGAAAAGTGTATCCCTCTGATCTGTCCCCTTTGCAGTCTGCTGACTGATTTCCTTCCCTGCTTTGCAGGGAACATGGCATTACTAAATAACTTTAGACTGACCCCGTGACTGACTCCTTGCTTTCTAAGTCTGAAGTGGTTGTTGGTTCAGCTTTGGCACTTGCAAAGGCTGTTTATTGCCAGTATCTTGTTGGATGGGAAAGGTTGTTATTTGGCAGTTAATGGCAATTAACCCTCATTCCAAATCCTGGGCTTCTGCAGTCAGGCACCTGAATTTGATTTTTTGAGTCTAGGACTACACCAAATACACATCAAAAAGTTCCTAGTTTATCTTTTACATTCCCTCCTTAGTACTTTCTCCTTGGTAGATAGAGAAGTAATAGTTGGGACAAGCCAACAGCATTTCTGTGGAGTGGCACCTCTGCATTAGACAAGACTGTAGTAGAAGTGAAGCTGATCGCTTACCCGAAAAAACTCACTGCCAAGTGCCAGTGTTGTGCTTCCTTGCTGTGTGGTAGTAGGTAGTTGGAAGGTGTAAATTAAAAAAAAAAAAACCAAAACAAACCCAAACAAAAAAAGGAAGGAAAAACCCAAAGTGGCTAGATCTTAATGCTGAATAAAACATGTAAAGATGGGTATTGTGTGTTCCCATGTGTTAGTATTGGTGCTTGGAATGCTTGTAAGAAATAAGGTGTCTAGTGAAAGGTATCTTTTGGATATGCCTGTATAGTCATAGCATTAAAAAAGAATTGTAAGATGTAATTTGAGTCTTCTGCTGTTCTCTGGGAGAAAAAAATACACCGTAATATTTACGTTTGATCAGTTTAAGCCAATGTACTTTCTGTGCAGTACACTAACCACCTCCCTTCCTATCCCTCCATCGTCTCCCTCCACTGCAGCTATCCTGCCAACCCGAGCCCTAAAACTCTCTGGTTTGTTCTCATCTTGATCAGCCCTCTGATCTAATTCACTGTGTAGCTTTTGTAACGGCACAAGGGAGCAGGGAGGTGGGCAGATAGCATAAATTGGTATCACTACAGAAGGAAACAAAGCAGAACCATATCAGCTAAGTTTGGGGTTGCAGAAAGATTTAGGGATTTAATACCGTGTCCACTTGTCGGCATCTCTTTAAAGGAATGATGGACAAAGCTTCAAGAACCTTGACAAGAGTAATGGTTCAGAAAAGTAGGGCTGGTGAAGGATATTGTAATAACAGGGTTTTGTGGGTTTTTTATTTTCTGCCCAGTCTCGCAGAGATAAGTGACAAGCATTTCAGTCCTCAGAAAGCTTAGCGAAGAAGGTAGTGATGGTTATTCTGATTGAAGAACAAAAAGAAATGTTTGCTTTGCAGCAAGGATGACTTAATCTAACTGTTAAGAAAATACTTTCTAACTGATCAAATGGGGAGCCACTAGATGGGGTAATGGAGGAGGTCGGCCTTTTTTTCTTTTCTCTCTTTTTTTTTTTTTAAGATTTGACTGGTACCTGGTGGAAATAGCCTAAGTGTACTTGCTTGTGTACCTTTATGCAGCACAACTAAATCTCTTGAACCCTTTTTATAAGTGAGTCTGTGTTTTGTCTTGACCTTCTGCAGATCAGAATAATTTCAGATTTGGTGGCTTTGTAATTATGCTAACAAACTCGTTAACACAGTGTTCATATATTGTAAGTAATGCTGTAAGGCACATAAAGAAAATTCAAAAGCAGTGCTGAGTAGTATCTTTAATAGATTCTTCTGTCTTTAGTATCAGACTTTGATATAAGATGATGTCGTGTACAGAGCTTAGAAAAAGGTCAGTTATATCTGAGTAAGCCCACTTGTCAAACTATTTTAGTGTGGAACTAATAAAATTCTCAAAGCAGTAACTTAGAAGTTACTTTTTAAATCACACTTAATATTGGACATGTGGATTTCAGTAACTATGGGTAACATACTTATTTACATGAGGCCTGATGAAAGTTTTCTCTGCCACCAAATTGCTGTCAAGAAGTTTCATCCCTATTTTGTAAGGAAGTATCTGAGTGTTGATTCATAGGAAGAAAATTAACTGGATCGGGTTATGGCAGAGTGAGGGAGTCTGAGCCTTGTTTCAGCCCAGTTTCATCTCTGTTATCGGCTGATGCTGTATTGATGGCAGCCAGTGTAGATCTAAAAGAAAAGGTAGGTGAATGTAGAGGACTTCCCAGACTGGAATCATGTTGGGAGGGACAGGTAGTAGGCACTGGAGTATTTGCTACTCTGCGTTCCTTCAGGCCTGTCTAAAGCAGTGGTTTCTACCAAAGGGTGTCATGAGCATCAGCCCTGCAGTAGCTGGAGAGAGGCAGCAGGGAGACGAGAGACAGGTCTGTCCTTCGTGCTCGCCTCTGCCGGCTGTCTTGCTGCTCCCTCAAGCATGGTTCAGGTTCATGGCTGTACTCGGGAAGAGCCTGGGGAAAGCAGATCTGGATCACACTGGCAGGAGTTTCCTTTGCCAGACTTCTGCCCAGGAAGGTCTGGGTGGAAGATAGGCTAAAGAGTGGTTTGCCAAGGTGTGAATCACTGTAACTTATTTTCAGTTCCCTGTTGGATGCCTTAGGAATCTTACCCTTGCTTGGAGAAGGACGAGGGGCGGTTTTAATCCATAATTGGAACATAAGTACTCTGTAGTTTATCAGCACTTCCTGAAATACCAAGCCTTCCTGCCTGAACTTTCAGCTGGTGCAGGTCACTTAGTCTTTCTCGGGAGCAGTTGCGAGCTGTGTGACTTGTCCTCTGTGCTGGTCTGCCTGTGTATGTCGCCTGATCATGATGGATGCAGAGGTGGTTTGAGTAGGTGAGGAGGGGGGACTGTGGGGCCCCTGCAAAAAAAAGGCAGCAGCAAGTGGGTGATGGCCACCAGCTGTGACTCGCTCCCTGCTCCTGGCTCAAGAGTTTGCCATGAAGGCAGGTAGTGGGGGTGTGTGTGTGCAAGCTGTGGCCTGTACAAAATGTTTCTAGTAGGTAGATTAATGGTTTTGGCCCATGATTTAAGGTTTACGTACTGAAAAAAGAGCAATACAGAGCTTGGTTTCCTGCGTGAGCATCAACTATGTAATTTTTGTTCTCTTAACACTAACATGGATCTCTAAGCTGCTCAGTTACATTGATGTTTCTGTCAGTATTAGAATTTGGAATGATGGATGATACTTTCTTTTGCCACCCAGAGAGTAGGTGCAGGAGGATATACAGAGAAATATGAGCATTAAACCAGGATGCAGTAACCTTACTAGAGGGGAAGCCTCCTACTCTGTTGCCAGAGGCTCTCAAGAAAGCAGTGCTGTAGGTGCTGTCTGTGTGATAAAGATAGCTGCCAGCTGGATGGAATATTTTTGGTTTTGAAAAAAAGACTAATCAGTTACTAAAAATTCTTAGGTGTTAATACTTATTTAAATCTAGCTCAAGTCAGTGCCTCTGTGCCATTAGGTCCTGTTAGATATTTTAAGAAATGTGGGGTTGGTACCTTCCTTGGGGAAGGCTGCTGTTGAATCAGTCCTGTTCTAACAACAAACTTTTTTTTTTTCCTAATTTTAGGATACTTGTGAAAGATGGTGGATCGCTTGGCAAACAGTGAGGCAAATACTAGGAGAATAAGTATAGTGGAAAACTGCTTTGGAGCAGCTGGTCAACCTTTGACTATTCCTGGTCGTGTTCTGATTGGAGAGGGAGTGCTAACGAAGCTGTGTAGGAAGAAGCCCAAAGCGAGGCAGTTCTTCTTGTTCAATGACATTCTTGTTTATGGTAACATTGTCATCCAGAAGAAGAAATACAATAAACAGCATATAATCCCACTGGAAAACGTCACTATTGATTCCATCCAGGATGAGGGAGACTTACGGAATGGGTGGCTTATCAAGACACCAACGAAGTCTTTTGCGGTTTACGCTGCCACTGCTACAGAGAAGTCTGAGTGGATGAACCACATAAATAAGTGTGTTTCTGATTTGCTTTCCAAAAGTGGGAAGACTCCTAGCAATGAACATGCAGCTGTCTGGGTACCAGACTCGGAAGCCACTGTGTGCATGCGCTGTCAGAAAGCAAAATTTACGCCCGTCAACCGTCGTCACCACTGTCGCAAGTGTGGCTTTGTTGTGTGTGGGCCTTGCTCTGAAAAGAGGTTTCTTCTCCCAAGCCAGTCTTCCAAGCCTGTGCGAATTTGCGACTTCTGCTATGATCTTCTTTCTACTGGGGAGATGACTGCTTGTCAGTCCACTAGATCAGACTCCTACAGCCAGTCACCTAAGTCATCTTTAAATGATGTATCTGATGATGATGACGATGAAGACAGTAGTGATTAAGCACCAAATGTTTTTTTTTTCCCATGTGTTGCAATTTGTGTTTCAAACTGTATGGAGCTGCTTTTGGGGAAGTCTGTAGTGAGGTTCCTCAGAAAAATCCTGTTCTAGCCATAAAATATGCCTGAATATCTTCAATTACGATGTGCCTCAATCTATGAATTCTTTAGACAATAGGTTTTTCACTCCTCTGCAGGGATAGACCGTTGCAAATGTTATCAGAGCGTTTTCCAACTTCTTATACTTGAGTTGTGTCTAAGTTAGACTTTTGTGGAAGATTGGAGAATAAAAATGTACTTTCTTAATTTCACAACCCATATTTCCTAATGCTTCATATTGATATGTTATATGGGTTTTTGGGATATGAGGAGGAAAACTGTAAGCACTCATGGAACAGTGATGTTTTGGTTAATCCCTTAGACCATCTTGTTGTTTTAACCACGGTATATAGTAAGTTGAAATGTGACATAACTTACAAATTTAAATGTCACAAAACTTGGAAATTGTCTTGTTTTGCTCTTATTTATGACTTCCTATGCCAAGCAGTGCCTTGTACCAATTGTGCTGATTCAGGAAGAAACAAACCTATTCTGTGTCGTCTGTATTTGCCTGATGCTGGTATCTGAGAGATTGTTGGTGCTATCGAAAATAACTGCTGTGTTCAAAGTGGAGCTTTGACAAGATCATGGCTGTACCCCATGGTGGGTGACACGGAGACCCGAATCGCACGTCCTCGCCTGTGCAGGCAGATCTGAAGACTCCACAGATTCCCACAGGCTTCAGCAGCGTTCTCCTTACAGGAGTTGCATTGTGGGTCTGGATCTTGAGATGAGAAGCTTAGGGTGACTCTTCATGGGGATTGATACTTTTTCTTCTTAGAACCATTTCTAAATTTCAAATTTGGCAAATACATACTGAAACTGTAGTTGGGTGATGTAGCATTTGGATGTGATAGCCTATATATTTTTGTAAATAACTCCCAAAAATGAGACTAAATTGTTTCTTAAAACACTGGTGAGAGGGTTGTTTGTTTTCCCCCCAACCCAGAGTTTTACTGTCTTGTTTAAAAAAAACTCGTATTTTGAGAAAAAAGCCTGCAAGTATCCTTATAAAATTGGCTTTCCTTTTTACACAGCTGACCTCAGGATAAATGTGAGATGCAAGTTACTTTGTTCTAAATGTATACCCAGGACCAAGAAAGATGTATTTAAGAACTATAATGAAATAGTGCAGAAAGTGTCTCTACCATAATATTCATTTTTACTTGTAATAAGTTCTTGAATACAGATATGTTGTGTTCCTATATAAATGTAAAATTTAGACTTAGCAAAGATGTGTTAAACCCCCAAATGCTATGTTTCTATATTTTTATAATGGTAGCGTCAATTTTGAAGCAGAAAAATCTCTTTGAAATAGTTGTATGAATATAGTAGCAACTGACTTTATACAAAGAAATATTAAACTTTTGTATCTCTTGAAGTGACAATTTCTGCACTGTTTGCCTTGCTTGGCAATAATTGGGTTAAATATTTATTGAATAAACAATCAATGCTGCATATTGCACTAGTCTCCCATTCTGTACGCTGTAAATGTCAGTCAGAATTTTTGTATAAAAATGAGCGGAGCTCTTCAAAACTGTAGACCTCTGAGATTTCTGGTAGCTAAAGATGCGCTTAGCGTCTTTAGGGGAGGCGCTCTGCATTAATAGTCTGCAATACATTGCTTCAGGTGAAAATTGCATTAATATTTTTTAGCTTGGGCAAATTCTAAAAATAAGATTCTTTTTTATTTTAAAAAGCACTGAAGAGTATTTGAACTACTTTGAAATAAACATAAAAAGTGGAAAATGCTTTCAGAGGGAGACTAGGGACCAGGAAGCTTTTGTAAAATTGCCAGACAAGCAATAAACAATTGTATATACTCAAAGACTATCTGAAATAAGTAGTTACATGTACATACTCCTTGAAAGATGAGGGAATGGTGACCTGCAGCAGGGGAAAACGGCTATTCTGAGAATGCACTTTGAGATAATAGTGCTTACTTCTTGTACCTCTGTTACTCAATATTTATATTTCAGGAATGGAGACTTGTCAGCTTCAGTTTTTCTACAGAATCGAAGTACAAATCTCTTGTACATACCTTCTAATGACTAACAATAATTTTCTTCCTGATGCAATTGTTTCCTCTTTCTTAAGCTGTCAAATATTAACTTGTCTTGTTGAAGAGTCCATCTCCTTGTGTACTTTTCCCTGTGTTTCTATATGCTGTGCTTACTTTTCAGCACTTTTTAGGGGGCAGAAAGAGGGTTGCCAAGAGTTAGATCATCCTGTATTTTGCAGAATGTTCTTGTACCTACTTCAAATATCTTTTTATCTGTGAATGAAACTTGCACTGTGCTGCACTGATCCCTGAAGCTGTAACCAAACCAATGCGTGATCTGTGATTTTTTTTTTATTTAATCCGAAATTGATGTATGTGGTCCAAGCTTTTTGAGAAAGCATTAAAAAAAAAAGGCATTTTATGGTAATACTCCTATCCCTCAGTGGTGTTTGTTTAAAAATTTACAAAATGGACTTACCATCGGCTTCTCTTGTACTTAGAAATTCCTGAAAGGGCTCGTTTCGTACTTTGTAATCTTGTTCTGTCAAATTATTTACAAATATACAGTGTAGCTTCAAGCCTGTGTGTTTAATTTTCTTTAATTGTGGGCCTTCAAGGGTGACAGAAAATAGGGTGACTATTTTTTAGTATTGACAAGTATTTTAGCAGCAAGTTTATTCACTGTCAGGAGGGAATAATAAACTGGGAGTGTAAGCATAGAGGAGGGAGACACAAGACTAAATTGGAAATAAAAGTAGTTACGGATTTAGAAGCAACTTTGCATTTGAGTAACTGTTTAAAACGAGGATGACTAGGCGTGTTGTGAAGTTTGGCTTTTGCTGAACCAGCGTGAGCTGAGACGCTGGAGGATGTCCCGCGCGTGGCAGGGCGCTGAGCAGCCCAGCCCCTGCGCTGCAGGTCCCGGCCCTGGGCCCCGTCGAACCACCCCTGGGGCGAGACTTCTGGTGCTATCCAGCTGGAGACTTAGTACTTTTCCTGGAGCTTCTGCACCCTTAAGATCTTAAAATAGTGATTAAATACAGTCCATCTCTGTGTATCTTACGTGCTTTTTTGTCTGTGGTAGACTTGACCTGCTCCTTTTTGATAAGCTTTCCAAATCCGCTGGAACGAAAGCAGTAGCAGTGCTTGCGGTCTCTCCCTTGCAAGGCTCTGCAGTCAGCTGCTGCTTTGTAGAAGCTGCTATATTGAAGAAATAAGTACTCGTTTTCTGTAGCTGAGTGCACATGTTGCAGACTCTTTACTGGTACTTCATAGTTTGTTTGCTGGAAATATTAAAGGAAAGGGAAAAGTCTCTCTTCTGAAGGTTGTAATTGAAGCTGACTAATTTTAGCCTCTGCACCTAAACTGCTGTTATCTTAAGATAAATTAGACTGTTTTCCTTTCAGGTTTCATGCAGCTGAACTTCCTGTAGCTAATGGGACATTTATGAGGGTCAAGCACTGCTAGTCACTTTAAAATAAAGTTTAACAAAATGGGCGAGTGCATTAATGAGCGTTGAGTTTGTAGCGGGGCTTTTAAGGTCTCTGCTGTAACAGGCAGATCATGAAAATGACATGCAGAAACCTTATATTTACATGGGGCTTTCACCCCAGGGATACGCTTTAGCTAATCTCTTAATGCAAATGAAATGGTGGTTATCATAGTTGCTGGTTAATGTTCAAGTGGAAGCAGGTTGTGGATTGTATTACTGCTATTTTTGTGTTTTCCTGTAATTTCCCCAAACCGATAGAAGAATGCCTGGTTCTCTCAGCAGATATAGCCGGAACAGAGTCGGAGTACTGATTCCCCACCTCCCCCTAGTAGCAAATTACTGTAGTAAATATTAGAAAGTCTCTTGGCTGTTCACTGCCTTTCATTTGATGAAATCTGAGCTACTTGTTTGTGCCTGCAGCCGGTCTCTGGCCAGCGCTGGCTCCCGTGACTCATCGAGTAGCCGGCGCTCTCGCCGCGAAGAATCTCTGCTCTGTTCCCTTGGAGCTGCCGAGGAGTGCAGCGCAGCGAGGATGGGTCTGCTGTGGCTCCACTGTACTGTGTGTATCCGAAACTATTCTTAAGCTCCGTCAGGAATAAGAAATCTGAACCTCAGTCTTCAGAGTAGAGCTTCATTGCTTTTCAAATTACTTTCTAATTGTCTGTGAAATACTGTCCAGGCTCAGAGTAAAAATCAAAACTCTTCAACTGCACTTGTACACACTTAGGATAAAAACTAACAATGTAAATTGATGGAAGTGACAGTGAAATCTGCAAAGGAGCAGGAGGCATTTCAGGGTCACTTAGTGCATCTGACTGTTGTTTAGCCTGCCTAATAATCGTTCCATTGGGATGAAGTTTTACACTTCCAAAACTTGCAGTTACTTCTCTCCAGTATTTCAAGAAACTGTCTGGGGTTAATTTCTGCAAACATAAAAAGCTACCAAATAGCAGCAGCAGCAGCCAAAAGTGATGCAGAGAGACCTGATTCTACCCCTCTGTTCTGGGCTAGTCTCTCTTACAGGGAGGGTAATTGGATTAAATGGTAAGAACATACCTAAAAGAAGAAGCCTTCTTTAGAAATCCATCTACATAAGATGATACCCTCAGCCTAAGTAGTGTTCAGGCAGAAAGCAGGAGCTCATTTTTTTTCAGATGTTCCAAGGCGTAACGCTAATGTGTTCAAGGGCTTAAATCTTTCAACAGCCAGATCTTCAAGAGCATCTGATGACCTTTCTTAGGTAGACTTTTTTTTTCCTGATGAAAAGTAGATGTGGTCAGCTCTATCACAGGTGTGAGTGGCTTGCTAGCAATTAATTTCAGCTTCTGGCTAGACTTACTATTTAGATTTTTCTGTTTGCCTGTATGCAAATTTAATCATAGTCTGCATTGTAGTAAGAGTTAGGGCTTTGCTGGCTGCTTTTTATAGAGCCTGGTGCTGCTGTTGAGCACTTCTAATCTGTGAGCTGCAGCGGGTTTGCATAACAGCAGCAGCGTCTGAGAAAGCTGTCCAGCAGCGAAGGAAGGGGACCTGCTTGGTCTGCTCAAAATAGCAGTTGGTTCCTTCTGGTACCTGTTTGCCCCATGCTGTCTCTCCAAAATGAGCTGGGACACCTGTTTCTGTGTAAATAAATACATAAGGTAGAGTAATTTCCTTCCTTCCTTATCGAGCTTGCTTCATACTCGCCTTCTCAGGCTATTACCCTGGAAGGTAAGATGAGTAACTGAGGGCTGAGCCTGCCTCTCCTGTCTGACAGGGATGATGTGAACGCTATTGCGGTGTTACGATGGGTTGTGGGATGTGTCTGTGTGTGCCAGG